GGACTAATCTCGCATTGTAGAAGGATCACTGTAGTATTTTCCCCTATTTCTACTACCACAGTCCTTGTCCACGAGTAGACAGCTTTTTATCTCGAGCTATTAGCAGGCTCTTATTTTCACTGTAAAGACAAGTACAGAAAATCTAATAGAAGACAGAGGAGGAACAGAATCAGAAAAGAGAATAAACACGGCAAACAATATTTGGAGAGTTGATTCGACACTGCTATAATCTTTTCTCACAGACTTTATAATCCGAAACTCCATCTCGCTCGACTGAAAAGAAAATATCTCTATCCACAGGGAAATACTGTCTATTGTACCTTCAGCCTTGGGTAGACTGCACAGCCAGGCAACAGGAGGTCACGACTCTGCAACTAGGCTGAATAGGCTGGAAATAATTAACCTACAGCTATTGCTACTATGGTGCGCTAATGCCTTCACAAAGATTAAGATTAAATCAGACTGTGAACTAGTAAGGGTATATTTTATATAGGTTAAAAGCTTTAAACTAGGACTGTATTCATTGATATTATATGGGTGGTGGTAGCTGCTGTCTATTACTACACAGCTCAGTGTCCTGTGCAGCCCGCTGTCTGATTATGTTACATACTGAAACGTACAATAACTACATGTTCCAGCGTATACCCAAAAAATAATGCCAAGATGTCCAGACCGACTAGGCGCGAAGGCTTGACCGTCATCCATTCTTTGCAGTGATGAGATTAGATGAAGGATCCAGGTGAAAATGTGTTGCCAGTCCCTTTCTCTATTGCCAACTATACTATGTGTTCAAAGATGCGGGCTCTCCTCCCAGTAAAGCCACATCATGATCGTTATATGGGCTTGTGATGTGTATTGAGTCTTGCTTCATTCCTAGGACTGGTGCAGCAGATGATTTTCCAGCTTGGAGTCTTCTCTCCCACAGCGTCTATGGTAGATCTTAGAGAAGCCATTCTTCTTTCCTTTCGAGTTCATATACCCATATCGTTTCAAGTCACCTGTATGGAGGGTAATTACGAGAGATTGCACCAGTACTATTTGGTTGCAGGTCGTATGATACACCTAATCCTGCGTTTCCAAATTGTCCCACTGGAAACAGACTTGGAACCATCAGATTTCGTGAACCAGCTCCTCCTTTCTGCGAACATCGAACAGCAAGTTGACCCAGAGAATAATAGTCACTTAGTCATTCTGCACAAACCAAAAAGCATGGGATGCATCTTCCAATTAGATCGACCAGGACCTTGTGCTAACTGTGGAAAACTATGAAACCCCCATAGCCCATCTAGATTGGCTGTCTGCGGTTAACTATTTTCCCAATTGCTATCCGAGGACCGATATTCGAAGCAACCTACCGGCTTGTATACTCTGAATGAAAATGGTTCTGCTCTGTTAGCGGAATCGACAACACAGTTGATAGGAATCATAATCAACATGGTGGAGGACTGTAGCCAAAAAAAAAGAAAGAAAGAAAGAAAAAAAGAGCAGAGTCCAGCAATTTTGAGATAGATTAATTCCTGGCATCGAATCGCTGTGAGGTAATTAACCCTATCCTAATTAAACTTTGTGGCTGGCTTAGGTATTTTAGATCAAATGACAGACCGAACTCGTGTTCAGTATAAGTTTAGACGGATCAATATGTAAGAATAATGAAAAGCATAAGTGAAACCCTGTCTGGAAAATTCTTTACTTAACTGTGGTACTGTAGAATGATGTACCATGCAACCTAGATGGTCTAGAATAGATGGTGGTGTGATTAAGCCAAAGGACGCGCCTCAAGGTATTCTTCTAGACTTTTCGTGTCTTGTGATACTTTGTATTCAATCGATAAACTTTAGACGGCTAAGCTCTAGATTGTCTATAACTATGGTTTTGTAGATTTCAGACTAATCCAGCTTCGTGTTTTCCCAGAATTTTTGTTTTTCTATTTCCTTGATGACCTCAGCATTTACTCACTGACGACATCGAGCCAGGGAACAATCATTAATATTTCACTTTCACCCTCCACTAGCAATTCTCAACTAATCTTTGATTATGCCGAAGATATATTTATACATTGAGATTTGCTCAGGTTTGTAGCTTGAGAAAACTCGATTTTCTTTCACTTAGTGATCCGAGACCACATGAGCAGAAATTTCTTTTTCTTAAAAAAGAAAGAAAGAAAGAAAACCCTCCCATCCTGACTGACAACGTTAAATTCAGGAGCTACTCCTTTGCCAGACAGAACTTTTTCTTGTTGTTATACTCTCATATTACTTAGCTGCTAAGGCAGATAACCTATCGCATGAGCCATGGACCTTAGAGTTGTTTTACTGGTATTTTTGTTCTTAACCGCGCAATCGAACTGTCAGGCGACTAGGAAATGCTCTGAGATGCTTGGGGCATGCTTCCCGAAGTGTGAAATCAAGCCCGGTCTTATTGGTTTGACTTGTCTCATGCATTGTTATGAAAATCAAAGAGAACTCCGAGAGTGTCGATTGGGCCTGGAAAGACAGGGACAAGGCTGTATAATTGGACTGCGCGCATGTGCAGCTCGCTGCCTGAAGGAAGAAACAAGATGCCAGAATTGTTGCAGACAATTTTCCGACAGGAGTTATCCAATCAGAGTATGGTCTGCTGCTTGTCGGCGACATTTTCAACAATGCAACCTACGACATGAAAACATTATCCCTCCATTCCCTGAAGAACTTACAGCAATACCACCAACATGAAAATAATCGAACTCCTACCAAAAGGCCTAGTGAAATGAGCTGATGAGAGTCCCCAAGATTTAATGTCTTTTAGTCTTTCTGATTGCTTGAAAATTTGTCATTCGCACAAAAGTCATTGTCTCTTCTTAAAGCCGGCCGTCTCATCAAAATACAGAATGCCCAAATGCAAGCTATTAATTTTTTATTTACCATAACATGGCTTATATATGCCTTATGACTACGTGTTATTCAGCAATGCTGTCTTTAGTATACAGTAGTGGTAATTATTCTCAAAAACATCGGTATAACTTGCCAAAGCTCAAAAAAAAAACAAAGAAAAGGTAATTCCAACTCAAGAAATAGTACTAACTTGACTAAGAATAAATAAGACAAAAATCATTAGTGATACCAAATAGAGGTTACTCTTTTTATAAGAGTAGAAAGTGCATGCAGAGACTAGGGTGCGGCGAACTAGTCCAACAAGCTCACTAGTAGATGAACCCCTTGTCACGGATGGCAGTGCATTTCCTTTCAAGGAACTATCGTCCGGTGGTTTGGATATCCTGGTAACAGGATCGATACGTCAGATGATTAACTCCAAAGACATGATTTACTCTAGCAGCCTAGCTATGCCACACTTCGTATATCTTTTGAATTAGGTAGGCTACTGCATCAATTGCACTGTGTTGTTTTCGGCTGCCTATTTACTCTGAAGATAGAATACCGGCTGCCTTGTAGTAGCTAGAGATAGCTTCCGCTACTACCTTTTCTACTATCTTTCCTATACAGTTTAGTAAACTGATTACCTTATAGACCTTGACTATCGAATAGTCAGACTTATTAGGCTTATATAGTAGGATCCACTTTGCTATCTTCTATACCTGTGGATATAGCTCTAGTCTGAAATACTAGTATACTAATACTACTATTCGCATAGTATCTCAACTCTAAACAGCAAGATGTGTGTGATGACATCCTGATCGTAAGATCCCACAAACGAGACAATATGGTGATGATCAAGTTTCTTCAGCACGTCGATTTCATTCTTAATATCGGCCTTGGAGAATGACGCCCTGGGCATGACACTCTTCCTGGCGAAAGCAATCTTTTCACTCCTCGTCGGATGGGTCCAGATAGCCTGGACCACTGTTCCTGCGCCGCCGTGACCGATGGCGTCCGACCCAATCTCCAGGGGGACCTCTACCTTAGGGTTGTAGGTGAGTTCGCGCCCCTTGCCCGACCAGTGACCCTTCACCTTCGCCAGGTCGTCCAGCAGTTGCCGTCCCCTATGGGGGGTGGGCCCGACTTCTGACCCCATGGGAATTCGAGGGGAGGATCACGCGTCAGAGAGATAAAATGCGAAGAAGAAGGTACACGTTGCAGGTGTGTCTGAGCATGACCTCCCATGATGGTGGTGAGGAGAATTCGAACGGATCTCCTTCGGGGTGCCAGGTCCTGGGGGCACATCGACGATCGCAGCCTCGCGATCCTTCTACCCCGCCCTCCTCTTAGTGTCGTTCCCAAAAAAGCAACCGGACGCATGGTGACCAGAGTCTCAGGATGCTCTCCGCTACTACTAGCTCGGTTGCCGCTCCTCCTCTCTTCTCCATGCAGCTCCCCTTATGGCCTTCAAAACCACTCGAAACCTGGCTGGCTGGCTGTTATCGAAGACGACGCAACCATGGTGCGTCCAATCGTGATACATATTCAGTCCATCCGAACTTGGAGTTGCGAACAGGTTCGGTACGGTTCCAGTCTAGGCCTAGATACGTAAGGCTCTCGCTGATCCCCAGAACGTGTATGGAGTGTCAGCTCCCAAGGGTTCAGGGTTCAGGGTTCAGGGTGGGGGCGCCGAAGCTGCTCCTCTGTTGTTTCACGTGATTCTTTAGTGTCGGGCGGGAGAGCCTCGGGTGGGACGGCGGATATAGATAGAATACTATACCGGAAGTATAGAGAAATACTAACAAGAGATTAAATATACCCGATGCGAGAGAGATATCTATCCTATGTGCTAGGGTATAGGGTCAAGAGTAGGCAGTCCATATGCTCAATAGATATCAGTGAACTCATGAAACCCGAAGTTCAATTAGATCCGACAATCTATTACCAGTCGATATGAATAAATGAATTCCAATCCATGGAGACTCTAAACACTGCCGCCCGCCAACAGGAGCCTCACCCAATTCCAATACACTGCTTGGCGCCACCCCTTGTGGGTTAAGGGTCGTGCAGCGATGATGAGTTCTTGCATACATTGGCAGGCAGAAAGTATTCATAGTCACCATCTTGCTCCCAAAGTACCTTCCTTCGTTACTGGTCCAGCTCCGCACGTACGGTTTGGCCCTCCGAGTGGACAATGACATCCTGTGCAGCGACAAACCAGGGGAATTGGGATTCCCTCTTTACTCTCCCAAGCCAATAAAGCATATGCAGGGAGTCCATGCGACTGGGCCCTGTAACTGCCCGTTCCACAGCTTCTGCTGCATCTGATAACTCAAATGTGGTCGAGATCATATGCGTCTGGATCGACACTGTTACTGAGCTCGGCCGGTCGACACTGGCCAATACACAACCAACAATAGATGTAGCCAGCTCTCCGAGGGGTAGAAGGGAGATGAGACGACCCCATCCCTGCGCCGTTGGGATACAGTTCATCTGTTTCGCTATCTCAGAAAAGGTGGCGATGATTTCCTGCGGCGGTGGTTGCACATTCGGGGCCTGCGTGAGGCGGTGGATGGTCACGGGCGTGTTCATCTTTTCAGTCGCCTTTGTTAAAATCTTCTCACTTGCCCACTTAGACGCGAGGTATCCATTACGGCCGTCTGTCGGCGGCGTGCCATTGCGCTCAACCACCTTCTCGACTGCACCACTGGAGAGGAAATGGATTGGAATGTTCCGGTGGCTGGCCAGGGCGACGACATTTTTCGTGCCTGTTACGTTTGCGCCACGAATGATGGGATACGCATCCCAAAATGACCGGTTGGCACCGGAATGGATTATCACGTGGGCCGAATCGGCCAGCATAGCCATGGTGCTTTCATCGAGCCCAAACATGGGTTGACTAAGGTCACCTTTCAGCGCGGTGAATTTAGGAGAAGCCGAAGGAAGAGGTCTGCCAATTCCTCGGCCCTCTGTACGAACTGCAACAGCATATACATGAGACACCGTAGGCGCAGCAAGGAGATGTTGGAGAACGATGTGGCCTAAAAAGCCTGTGGCGCCAGTTAAGACGACGACAATGCCTTGATCTGTTACCGGCGGCGGCGGTTGCTGATTGATGGCGAGGTCTGACAGCGACGTTTCTTCCATCCAATCGAGCTCAATGGTGGGGATCGCACTTTGTACAACCCTAGCCATCTCACCCAAGGTGCTCGCTGAGAACAGGTCGACTAACGGTACAGACACCCGCAGGGCCTGTCGGATGAGGGCTTGGAGCTTGACTAACAAAACAGAGTTTCCTCCCACCATGAAGAAGTCATCCTCGCGACCGACGGCTGTAGCATCTAGTGAGGTCGATTCCAGAACCTGAGCCCAGAGCTCCCGGAGCATGGCGTCTGTCCCGGAAAGCTCCTCAGCAGAGCGATTGCTCCTGGATGCTTGTGGCAGTGGCATGGAACGAATGGCCTTGCGGTCTACCTTACCGTGAATGGTAAGAGGGAAGTCATCAACCGGTACGAAGACCGAAGGGCACATATACTGTGGCAGGGGAAGCGTAGCTCGTAGTCGCTGCAAGAAGCTGTCGCGGCTAGAGGGGGTGCCCCCTTGTATACTCGGTGCAAGCACAACATGAGCTGTGAGCAGCTGGCTATCTTCACCATGTATTGAAACGACCGCATTCGCTACCTTACCCTCTGAAGCTTGGATGATACTATTTTCGATGTCTTCAAGCTCAATCCGGATGCCACGGATCTTCACCTGCGTGTCTCCGTCTAAACGACCTTCGATCACTAGGGAGCCATCACTCAGGAGTCGGCCGCGATCGAAAGTCCGGTAGACCCTGGTCCAACCAGACTGGGTGTATTCGCATGATGCAAACTGGTTTTCGATAAACTTTTCTGTTGTTAAGGCTTCACGATGAAGATACCCTAAGCACGGCCCGGCACCCCCGATCAAAATCTCGCCGGAGACGCCGGGGGGAACGAGCTGCATGGCGTCGTCGACAACATATGTGGTATAATTTGGCAACGAGAAGCCGACGGGGAAAATATCATCCGGGGTCGCACTAGGCCCTTGGTAATCAATCTTCAGTTTGTGGGAGGAAATGGTAATCTCTCCTGGGCCATACGAGTTGTATAGAGATAGATGGGGCAGTTCTAACGCCTGAAATCCCTGGGTGAGTGTAGTGGTAAGGTGCTCGCCACCCCCGAAAGCATGTCTCCAGCTGCGAGCTGTGCGCAGTGAGGCAGACCCATATCGCAGCCACATTGAATATTCAGCCGGAGTGGCTTTCGTATAAGTGATTTGTTGATCAACAATCAACTTCGTAAGTGACACAGGATCGCCGCGAATATCATGTGTCGCCACCACCACCCGGCCAGCAGTACACAGACCCGTTAAGATCTGATCCAACGAGTGATTGAATGTCATGGCACCCTGTTGGAGTACTACCTCAGGTCCCAACTCCCAGCGCTGTGTGTATCCCTCGACCTGATTTCGGATACTAGCGTGTCGAAGCAGAATACCCTTAGGCTTACCAGTCGACCCGCTTGTGTAAAGCACAGCAGCAGGGGCATCTGGATTCGAAGTATCTTGAAAATTGGAGTGTCTGCCACTGTAGCCACATATCTCTGAGGTATTCAAGATCACGGCACCAGGGCAGTCGAGGCCTCTAACATCGGGATCGGTTTCATCATTACAGAATATAGCCGTTGGCTGGCAGTCATCGATCACCGTCATGAGTCGACTGGGGGGGTTACGTAAGTCAAGGGGCACATAAACTGCATTGAGACACCAAATAGCGAGCATACAACACACCCATTCCGCGGTTGGATGTTGGAATATGCAAACAAACGAACCTGGGCTGACACCAGCATCCCGTAATGCAAAGGCCAACGTGCGCACACGATCCATCATACTCCGATACGTGAAGCTTCGACCCTTGGTGTCCATTACAGCAATCGTGTGGCTGGGCTGGGAGATAGCGATTTCCTCGATCCTCCTTGATACAGTCGAAGGCCATTGGGACTTGTAAGTCGGGCCTTGGCCAACCTCAACAGCGCGGTCGAGATCGGAGGGGTGCCAAATGCATGGAGCATTCACGTGAAGCTCAAGATCATCGGTGAATGCTTCCAAAAGGTTAATGTAACTCCGAGCAAGAACCTCACTGCCCTCTTTAGAGTAAAGTGCTTTCTGGGTGCGGAAGTGAATCGTCGCGTCGCCTCGGGCAGACTCGGTGACGAGCAGTGTAAGGTCATAGATTGTTCGCCCGACAGTCATCTTCGTACAGGATGAGGTTATGTCTCCTATCTTCACTTCTCCTCCAAGGCGAGGTTGCCAATCCATCAGGACCTGAAATAGCGGACTATGTGTGTTGCTCCGAGGGACTGCTAATTCGTCGAGAAGTTTATCGAAGGGCATCGCGGAGTGAGCCAGCGCACCATAGCATGCTTCCCGAGTTCCCGCAAGAGCCTGCATAAAATTATCTGGAAGCGTCCGGAAACGTAGCGGCAGCAAGTTCAACAGAAATCCCACGGTTCTTTCGTTGTTAGGATCCAGTCGATTAGAATCAGCGACACCAATACAACAGTCCTGGGTCTTGGTAAGACGAGCCAGAAGAATCCTCAATACCGCTAGAGAAAAGTGAAATGGAGTGACTCTGTGCTTACGGCACTGAGATCTAATTTTATCCATTGTGGTATTCGAGATACAGAACTGGAGCTCGTGCGTGTCGTACTCCTTAAGGGGTGGACGAGAGCGAACTTTGGTCATGGGAAGAAGTGCAACTGGTTCCGGTAACGGGCTCAGCTCCTTTTTCCAGTAATCGGATTCTGTATGCAGCTTTCCCTGTTCATACGAGATTCTCTGCGCAGCTGCAAAGTCTGGATATTGGCGAGAAACTGATGGAAGCGAGACCTTCCTATATGCTTGATCAAGTTCATCAAGGAGGATGAGGCAGCTAGCACCATCCATACACATATGAGGGTAACCGATGATCAAGAATGCGCTGTTTGTGGCAGTAGATTTGACCAAGCGGAATCGAATACATTCCCCTTTCTCTGTGTCATACGGATGGTCACAGATTCTGGTATACTCATCGAACAGGCCGGATTCGTCTTCAACATTACACACTTCCAAATCCACGGGAGAGATGGGCAAGACGGCCTGGCACGCATTCTTCATCTCTGTTCCCTCACTCAGATAGCAGGTTCTCAGGGACTGGTGCCTTTGGCAGACAGTCTGGATAGCTGCTTGGAGATCCGTTTCCAATGGCTGGCCGTCCATAGTAAAAAGGAGGGTGACATTGAATGCTGTTGGGTCTTCATAGTATTGTTGAAGAAACCAATAGCGAGATTGAGCATATGATAGGTGCTCTACTCGTGAGTATTGTCCTTTGCACAATGGCGTGTCACCCATACTGGATACGGCACCCGAGCTGCTCGTGGTCGGTGAAGCCGAGCCGGAGTTTTCGGATCGCCCTTGTGCCCAAGAAACTGGTGAGCCCCGTTCATCTTGCTTCGTTGTTTGGGCAAGCCAGTCTTTAACCGCATATTGGACCAATGAACCGATAGAAGCGTTGTTAAGAAGGTTCATGATTGGCATGTCGATGCCCACTTCGTTCACAAACCATGACCGCAGGCTGGTAGCAACCAAAGAGTCCACCCCTAGCTCAAATAATGCGGTATTGGCAAGGATAGGTTCTTCTTCCCTCAAGCGAAGAACCTTTCGAGCTTTGCTATAAATTTCCCCTGGATGATCTTCTGCAAGTTATCAATCTCCCGGTCACTTCTGGCCATCTCCTGTTGGAGGGTGAGGTCTTCCCCTCTGGACTGCCCTTCCGCTGGTGGTGAAGGAGTGAGCTTGGGACATATTATAGACCAAAGGATTGGGTTCTGGGAGCAATCAATGTGTGAATATTCCCTGCTCTGGCTGATTGCTGCCGCGGGGATCACATTGAAGGGACCCTGCGAAGACACACGGCCGGCAATGATGGCTTCTGCCAATACTTCACCAATCTCCTGCTTTGAAAGAGCCATTTCCGCAAGGGACTTGGAATGTATTATACTGGCCACTAATCCCATACTCCTCCGTTCATGTGCAATGCCGAATAAAACGGCGTCACGTAGAGTAGAATCGTGACCTGGAAAGCCAAGTGGCCACACACTCGGCGCGGAAAGAATGAAGAATTCCAGTTCCCTATCATTGTAAACTTCGCTCAGAATTCTAGCGCCGTGGGTTTCCGGACGTGATGCGCCTTGGACGGCTGTATCTGTCGTAACATGAGGGTCAAGTATCGCAATAACCCCACTCATAATACCTCCTATTGGGCCAATATCTCGAATGATGGTGGCTTTTACTGCAGCGACCGACTCACGATCGGTGATATTCCTGTGTGGGTGCGTGTTAAGGCCTGGCCATCGTTCAGCTTTGGCTGGACACTTACATGCTCAAAATGTTCACCTGGCTCCTAGCAGGCCAATTTCATTTATCCAATCCTGATCGACACCAGAAGATGACCCTATGAGTACGACCTTTCTAGCACCCTTATGGATGAGTAATTCTGCTACAGGCTTAGCAGTTGCCCCGTCCAGATCCACAACGAGATACGCCAGCTCTGCAGAGAACACAAGCTCAGAGCTAGCTTTCTGCACGATGGTTCGAACAGCGGAAGGGTTGGACCAATCAACCACGGCCGGTAGTCCAGTGTCATGTTTCAAAGCAGCAAGCTGTTGCACGTCAATCACGCTGAGCTCCGAGTCATTTGCGATATCTCTGCTCTCTGCCAGACCCAAGGCCAAGTGCAGGAAGTCTGCAGCCGTGGAATTGTTGGCTTCACGACCGCGTATGTATGGCTCAGAGGAAAAAAGGCTTCGAATTTCTGTCACAAGAACGCCTGGAGCTAGCGGTAAGCCTGAGCGAGAGAATATGCCCCCGGCTTCTTCATCACACCTTAAGATCATCGATACGTTATCTGGAAGTAACTTGACAAGAGCGCGATTGGGGCTCAATGGATGGATATAGTGATCGGATGTGGGGGCTTCAGAACTACCAGTCGTGAACAGCAATGACACATTTTGCGTATGCGCATAGGCTACTAATAGCGCACGAATAGTGTTGCAAGGCTCGTGGACGACCAGAGTAGTGTTTGAGCCTGCGAGGCGGACTGCGACTACAGCTGCCAGGGCCAAAATCACAGCCATCAGGGGCTTGGGTCCGTCTTGTGCAAGACACTCGAAGGGCCGGACCCAGCAAGACGGAACTGAAACAACCGACGCACATTCGTCCGAAAAGCAAATCACGGAGGACCGCCCATTGAGCACCTTGCCAACCACGAGGTACAAAGATTCACTGCCGACCTTGATTGCCGACTGCGAAGAAAATACTACTTGGACTCGGGTCATGTTGGGTTCGTCCCGCATTGCCGGCTGTATGGCCAAGTGCTGAGGGCCGGGATTAGACACCAGGCGCACTCCAGACTTGGAGAGCTCAACCTCTTGGTATGTGGTTTGCTGGTCAGCAGACGCCCGTTGGTTCATTGATTCATTAGGCCTGATCCTGGGGATGTAGGCCACCCCACCCTCTAATAGCAAATGGGGCTCGCTGCTCCATACATGGGTTGGGAGTTGATGATCATTAGTAAGTGGATTGTTGATTAGCTGGAGAAGCGCTGTTGCAACGTAACACGGGGTCGTCTGGGTGTCCTGGCTCATTTGAAGGCACTGGAGGCGAAGTTGTTGCTTTTGTGAAGCAAGACTGCGCAGTGTAGTAGTAAAGTGTCCTTCGTTCCAGATACTGGACCTAGTGCCTCGTGTCACGCAAAGGATATTGTCACTTATGTTCACCATATGTTGAAGCCAATTGTATTGATCTTCATCGAGGTCTTCAGATAATGGGGTATCTAAAACACCCAAGTACAGGACATTTATCCTGGCGTGGCCTATCGCGCCCAATGCCTTCAGCTCCGGAACTTTCAATAATGACCTGAATCTTGGGGTCAAAATTGCGTCTAGCCCCTGCACAAGGTTCGAGGTTTCTGGGGTATTGCCCCCGATGATATAGAGGTCACGGTCATCTGGGCCTGTGTCGGCTCTAACCAACGGGTCGCGGAGGGCAACAATTGTATCATCGACGGCCTGCGACACTACCAAAGAGTATGGTTGCAGAGGCTTGTACACGGTGGGAGTCATGGTATCAATCCCAGAGAAGCCACTGTCCTGAAGGGCAGAGTGCCACCTGTCTGGTGTCCATATTTCCTCTCTGCCAAAGCCCAGGGAAGGTGCAAGGAGTGTGGCATGGAGTACAGATGGATTCGTCTCCTCGATAGCCAATAAATAGCCACCTGGTTTCAAGAGACGACGAAGATTCAACAATGCTTGGTCGCGGGATATAGTGGGACAAAGTACACTGGGAACCAGAACCACATCATACGAATGCTCCGTGTAGCCTTGATCCGCAGGGTTCTTGGAAACATCAAGCTCCATCATCCGATGCTCATGTGGATTCTCCAGGTCACTGGGCTTCTCCACGCAGCCATTGGGTGGCCGTGTGTGCGTATAAGACTTAAAGGGAAAGCCCATACGAGATAAAGCATTGTCTGCTTCTGTGTGGCCTCCCACTTCGATAATATTTAGATGTGGATATCGGAAGCATATCTGCTCGAGCACATCCCGCATGCCACACCTGAGCTCACGGATGTCAACGGAATGTCTTTGCCACTCATCGAAATGCTTGCTTGATCCATCTGCCTCGCCCTGGTTTTGGATTGCCTTAACCAGGTCTCTGCCAGCCGCATGCAGAATGTCATAGGTTTTATAGCCTGAGCCTTCAGGCGCTAGGGCTTCAATCCGTTCGACTGTATCGACCATCCACTCCCGACGACAGACCGGATGACCACCGGAGTTTGTCTGCTGCAGAACATTATCGATCCAATCCAACAAAGCTGTGGTCTGGGCATCCATGTGAATGCGTTCGTGTTGTGGGGCCAGCTTGGCCGCATGGGCCATGTAGCAGAGGGCAATCCGCTCATGTGTCTCTGGGTCATGATCATCGACCCCAATACGCAGGTCTGTATACTCTGCAGAAATACATGGGTTCAAGCGACCCCAGGCGACTTGTGAAAATATTGTGCAGTCCCGTTCCTCTGGCTCCGTGACTGGAACAAGAGTAACGCCCTCTACCTGCATAATGCCTTGCCCCCCCTCCGCGAAGAGATCGACGTCGCCTTCTATGTCATAGCTAGTGGCATTGCTCAAGATACTGTCGAATACCACTTGGTTGCCTAGTATGCGCAAGTGGATTGCCATGGGATTTAGAGCAATGCGCCTAATCTTACTCGGCACAAAAGGGCCCGATAATGGCGTTGGACCATGTGCATCTGCAGCTGCGAGAAGGGTCTGAATTGAAGCGTCAATGAGCGCTCCATGGTCAGCCTGAGACTTTGGGCACGTCTGTTCCAGGCTCACCAAGAATCCGCGGGTATGAGGGTCATTATGCTGCAGCTTGGAAATCACGAGCTCTTCGGAGACTTCATACCCTAGCTTGGCGAGTGTTGAATAGAATGGGGCAGGGTCTGTTAGTGTCAGGCTGCTAACATCGAATGGCTGAGAGGGTAGCAGCGTGGGGGACTCCTCTCCTTTATGCAGCGACGCCTTCCCTGAGACACAGCGCCGCATAGAGCCTTCACTTTCAATAAAACAGGCGAATTCCAGAAGCATAAGCTCCTTATCATCAGTCAACACGTCAACCTTGAACAATGTTTCGATGCTCTGCTCCATATGAGCATCAAGCACAACTGTATGCAGCATTGCAACGTCGGAAATTTCGACGAAGCGAAATGGTTGGGCGTGTGTAATAACCATTACAGCGTTCCACAACATGGCAACGGAGGTGCTCAGGGGAAATAGGATCTTTGACTGAGCACGCTGTCCATTAATCCGTGGAACATCCTCGTGGCGCAGGTGGTTGCGCCAACGCCACTCACGTTCACCAGAATCTGGACACAGAATTCCTAAACGCTCATCCAGTGTATCGTTACGTTTAAGCGCTGCATTCGTTAGGCGCGATACGCCCCAATAACCCTCCCGATGATCAAATGGATACGATGGGAGACGCTTCAGGAGCTGTGGGGCACGCGCATTACCACAAAGCTTAGTGTATTCCTCCAGGTGAATCGAGTCCGGTCCCAGGTGGGCCCAGCAGGTTCCTATCATAGATGCGACAGATAGCATGTCATTTGAGCCACGCTTGAGCATACTCGTGTAGGGTACTTCGGAACCTACTAAGCTCTGCTGGAAAGGCCCCTTCAGAGCCGGATGTGGCCCAATCTCAATGGCAAGGTCAAATGGCGTATCGTGGGTTACTGCAACCACAGCCTGGTTGAACCTAACTGGGCTGACCAAATTTTCATTCCAGTACTCCGAGCAGAGTAGTTCCCGATGATGCTGACTCATTTTGCGGCCATCCAGTACGCTAGAGAACCATTTGGTGGCCGAACTGTTCCGAGTCGGCGTGATGCCACAATCCGCCAGGGCTTTCTTATATTTGGTGGAGCAAGCAAGCATATGGTTTGAGTGATATGCAGTGTCCACCTTCAGCGCCCTGCAGAATTTGCCCTCATGCTGCATCATGCTGCACAGCTCACGGATTGCATCAGCATCTCCGGAAAGCGTTACACTACTCGGAGAGTTATAGGCGGCAATTGTCACTCGACCTGCCCACCTTGACTCTCTGCACAGGATTTCTGCTTCCTCGTGGGATAGGCTAGCGGCTGCCATGGCACCTGCCTGACCGCTGGTACTCCGCGCCAGTCGCGAAAAGACCCCCCTGAAATAGGCGATGCGAATTGCATCATAGGCCGTGATGAAATCTGCTGCATAGGCGGCAGCTATCTCCCCAGATGAATGCCCTATAACAGCTGAGAGCTTTATTCCTAGAGCTGATAGGGCCTTTATCAATACTATTTGGATGGCGGTGCATAAGGGCTGCGACACGGTGGCTTGGTTCACCCGTGATGTGTCTGGGGACAATGAGAGCTCATGCATCAACGAAAAGCCTGTGTCGCGATACTGCTTTGGTAGCTCGTCCAACGATCTCTGCATTTCAGTCATCCATCTAACTGCTTCCGGGCATGCTCGGATTAGCTCCATGCCCATCCTTGCCCATTGTGCTCCCTGACCAGTGAACACCCCTAGGATGCGTTTTGGGTCACAGCGTGGGGTTCCCATGATAGTTGCAGGGGTGCCGGATTGCCGGGAATATATTTCTTCTCGTATAGCATCTCTTAATTCTGTAGCTGATGATGCACAGAACCAAAGTCGGTGGCTGAACAGACTCCTTCGAGCGAACAGTGACCACGCCAGATTCATTAAGTCAACAGAGGGAGTTTCATCGAGAAAGTCACTATAGCGATCCAGCAGCTGCCCCAAAGCCCACTCGGAGCTTGCTGAAAAGACAAAGGGTAAAATGGCCAGTGGATCTTTCGAGGGATGGCTCCGTGGTCCCCCATTGTAACTTTCCAGAATGATATGAGCATTAGTCCCACCGAAGCCAAATGAATTAACTGACGCACGCCTAGGCAGTCCTGGTGGAAGGGTCGGCCATGGGAGGACTTCAGTGGGCACTCGCAGTGAGCCTGCATAAGGGCAAATATCAGGATTGAGGTTCTGAAAGTGCATATTTGGACTGATGGTCGCGTTTTCGATGCACAGGGATGCTTTGAGTAAACCGGCTAGGCCTGCTGCGCCTTCTGTATGGCCGATGATCGTCTTCACGGAGCCAACCAACAAGGGACTACCTTCCTGGGCAGCCGAAGTATTCGGCCCGAAAAAGGCATCGTGAATCGCCCGAGCTTCCTGTGGATCTCCGGCCCGTGTCCCCGTGCCATGCGCCTCGAAGTATTGACACCGATCCTCCGGGCGGTTCTGAGGATCTAATCCAGCGTCCGCATATGTTTTCAATATTAGATCTTTCTGTGCCTCTGGAGATGGCATGGTAATACCCGGAGTCCTTCCATCTTGGTTCACATTCGTTGCGCGCACCACGCACTCGATATGATCGCCATCCCTGATTGCATCGCTTAGCCGCTTCATTACCACAACCGCCACGCCTTCACCACGAGCGTATCCATCTGCATTGGCATCCCACATGCGACTGTGACCACTTGGACTCAGCATGTTCAGGCTTGACTCGCTGAGGAAGACATTAGGGGCCAGGATCAAGTTTGTCCCAGCCGCGACAGCAACGCGGCAATCCCTGTCTGCCAGTGCCCTTGCCGCTAAGTGCACAGCTACCAGGCTGGAGGAACATGCTGTATCGACTGTGATTGACGGCCCGGAGAGATTGAAGAAGTACGAGATTCTGTTTGCCACGATAGCCTGTGAAGTTCCCGTCGCAGCGTATCGGGGGACAGTATCCAAGTCTCGGAAGAGCATGCTTCGATAGTCATCACACATGACACCGCAAAAGACCCCGGTAGATGATCCTGATAAATCCTCCAGGCGATATCCAGCAGTCTCTAAGCCTTCATACACGGCTTCTAACAGCAGTCTCTGTTGGGGGTCGATACTCTCAGCCTCGGTTCTCGAGATATTGAAGAAAGGTGCATCAAATCGGTCTATTGGCTCGTCAAGGAAGTAGGATTTGACGGCATTGGTTGTTCCAAGGCGTCTTGGGTCCTCGTGATAGAAGGCATCTGCATTGAACCGTCCTGAAGGCGGCCGAGAAGAGAGATCCCGAGGCTCTAGTAGAAAGTCCCATAGTCGCGCTGTGGTAGAAGAACCCCCAGGGAATCTACAGCTGCGTCCAACAATAGCAATTGGCTCTGCTTTGGCCATCGTGGTTGTGGCTCAAAGTCAAAAAGAAAGGTTTCTTTTAAGAACAACACCACTGTAGGCTCCAATACTCTGCTATCAAGCACGGGCGATATAGATAGATGGCTTTCTATAAGTACATCTAGGTTGTTCGTCGTCACGGTTATATAAGCATGGCTATCGTGTCCACGTAGCCAGTGTAGTTCCCAGCCTAACGTTGCCAAAAAGACTAGTACTATCCTATCGCTCCCCCAACTAGTCCTTGTGTGAACACCGCACGGCGTGCAGCTGCGCGCTACAGGTGCTCATAGCTTGGTTGGTATGAAGATCTCTCGTTGTCATGCTTGGCATTGAGCTGAACTTTCACGACCCTTGCGGACAGTGGCTGGCGGACACGGGTAGCACTTGACCCTTGCTTCAAGGAGCAGAAACAGCAGCAGTGGCCCAGGGCACCAAGTGACCGCTCTATCGTCAACGATTATGAATGCAGATTGTAAGTCCCATGGCTATTTCATGGGCCTTGGCTGCGAGTTTATCACATTCCCCCAACAACATACCCTATCCATAGTGCTTCGGAATGAGCGGTCAAAAGGAACCTCCCAACTCACTCGTACCCAAGATTCTTGACGCAATCATGAGATCCTTTGACGCTAGATGCAATGCAGATTGCCTTGCTTATCGTTCACCCCCATGCCTGGTTCTCAACTTAATTTTCATTTTTCTCTTGCTCCTTTATCAACCTCCCATACGAGATGAACTGCTAGGTTAGGAAATGAATGTCAAAGAAGTATGTCTGGGGGTATGTATAGCACAAGTGGGCCATCCCAGTGTGAGCTATCCTCACCTTGCGTCGTCTAAATATGGTTTAATGGCTATAGAAAGGGTGAAGCATTTTAGCTCTCCAAGCATGCCGGCCGGGACACTTTGCGGCTGGGGCTGCTGTTGGCAAGTATAAGCACAATATTTACATGAACAATAAATTGTTTCTCATCGATTCGTCGAAGGAGGATTGAAGCAATTGTGTGATCTACCCGAGAAACAGTGAAAAATGGCCGTGAACTTTACTCAAATCCCAACCATTGATTTGGCCCAGGCGCAGTCTCCCGCTACGAAGCCCTCGTTCTTGTCAGACCTCCGAGATGCTATTGTGAAAGTAGGATTCTTCTACGTGAAGAACCATGGCGTCCCAGATAATGTCGAGCGGCAGTTTGTAGAGCAATCGATCAGGTTCTTCAATCTGCCCTTGAAGGAGCGCCTGGAAGTTGAGATGCTGCATAGCAAGCATTTCCTTGGCTATGTTCGCGAGCAAAACGAGAAAACAGCACAGCGGACTGACTACCGCGAGACATTCAATGTATGCATAATTTCCTGTCTCTGGTAAAAATGACACCACTAATGATGTTCACCCCCTCCCAGCTTGGGATGGACCTGGCTGCTCCAGGGGACGAAGAGCCCGCTTATCGCAATATGAGTGGCCCCAATCTTGTGCGCATATCCTCCTCCTGCGACTTTGTGATGCTCCATAGCTAATTTAGGCGGCGGGCGGTATAATCAAGTGGCCGAACGAGACTGCGATTCCAGGATTTCGGGAAGCAATGGATGATTATATGAAGCACATCCAGGCGCTGGGTGAGGACTTCAAAGTCCTGGTAGCGGAAGCGTTGGACCTAGAACCAACAACCTTTCTCCGCTTCTTCGACGATCAACCGCAAGATAGACTGAAGCTCGCCAAGTATCCTGCTCCATCCTCCATTGCCGACAATGGGCCATTGGGCTCCTTTCAGGGAATCGGACCACACAAGGACAGCAGTTTCTTAACCTTCCTTCTGCAGGGAACGCCCCACAAGGGCCTCGAGGTTCAGAATAAATCAGGAGAATGGATTCCTGCTCCCCCAGTCCCTGGAACCTTGGTTGTGAACATTGGTCGCATGTTTGAGGCACTGACTGGTGGTGTGGTGACAGCCACCACGCATCGAGTCAGTCTGGAAGAGAAGAACTTCGTGGCTTGCGATGGCCAACCTTTGGGTCCGCGGTTCTCGTTTCCCATGTTCCAGCTTCTGGCCCTGGATCTGACGCGAGAGCAGATGACCCTGGATATGCCAACACATATAGTAAGTCTTGCCAAGCAGATCAAGGTCATGTCAGACGCAGAGAAATTCTTCGAGGAAATGTTCCGCGATTGTGCTGGCAGTGGCCTTTTCATGGCGCGTGTTATCAAGCACGAAGACGTGGCGCGCAAATGGTATCCAGATGTGTTAGATAATGTCCTCAAGGCGCAAAAGGCGGAGCTTGGTCATTAATACCACGGTAGTGTCATTGAATGAATGAGGCCGTGGACGTGTGTGAAACTAGCTTCCAATTCAACATTCTTCTCGCTTGGGGCTTTACTCAACTATATCCATCCATGTTGAAGGAATAAGAGTAGACATGAAATAATGAAAATGGCTTAGATCTCGATCATGAGGGTGAGCTCAATGTCGATGGATACTCCACATACTACTAGGCACAGCTAGGTAACGAATACTTCAACTTACTATTGTAATATATAAGTGACCTACGAGGTATTCCTAAATTCGTCCAAGTCCTCAATATCACTGAAAGGCGTGGGATTAGCTATTGAGTTATTTCCCAAGATATAGCTACACAGTTCGCTGTCCAGAGCAAGAGTTATGGCTACAATATCTGTACGGAATGTGGTGGAGCCCGTAACAAGTCGTGGGACTACATTATGACGAGCTGCGTGATGGGTCATTCTAAATGTCGAGTATTATCCGTTACCTACACACCTGGATTATTATCCTAGAAGGTTCAAAACCAAATTCCTTGGTGTCTTTAATAGCCCAAATTACAATAGTATAGCTTTTTACTGTGGTTTACCTTAAACAATTCTTTTATTGGCACGGGAGTCTCAAATATATATCTGTTGTACTCCTCTACCATACATCTCTTTTAACACTAATTTTATAGTTAATGTTGGTTATAGCTCCCTATATACCCTTTTCCCTAAGGGTTCTATGATAGAGGTTTATACGCAAAGCTTTGTCCTTGGCAGCAGCTTAATACATCAGGCTACGAAATTTAGGTAGACTTCAGAGTGCAGTTCTCAGAGAAGTGCTGGGGAAAATATCCTCACTTAGCAGCATGTTCACTATTGGCCATTGCAAGTTCATTTATCATACATCTTCCTTTTCTTGCTCCAACTCGAGGTGTTCAATTGCCGGAAATACAAATCTGGCTTTTGAGTATTATATATAGCCTCCTCGTAGGAAGTACAAAAGCCGCATCTACAATCCAAGCGACTCTCTCTCTAGCTCCCCACGTGTTATACCACTCTGATTGCACATCTCCCGAAAGATACCCTGTTGCTCCCAGAGTCGTACAGGTGTGTTTAGCTCTGCGATACATCCTTTATCCATGACACAGATACGATCATAGTGAATAATGGTCCGTAGCCGGTGGGCAATACAAAACAATGTCTTGCCATGGAAGGTGGAGATAGTTTGTTGCACCTTCTGGTCTGTCTGGTAGTCAAGGGAAGAAGTTGCTTCATCGCAGATAATGATCCTGGAGTCCCGCACAATAGCTCGGGCTAGAGCCATTAGCTGACGCTGGCCAAGAGAAAGATTGAGCCCTTCTTCATCCACTGGGGAATCAAGATGCAACTGGCCGGCACCTGCCGCTTTCTCATTCACTACCTGACATGCATCCTCGTCACCATCAGACGGTGGGTCAACTAAATGTGCCTCCCGGAGTGCCGACCAGAGTTCTAGATCTGTATGTTCGTCGAATGGGTCCAGGTTGGATCGAATAGTACCCCGAAAGAGAGTAGGGTCCTGTGGTATGACAGCCAGCCGAGATCGTAGAGTATGCAATTCAACAGTAGCTATATCCACACCATCAATCCAGATATTCCCACCCGAGAGCTCAGTTAAGCGGAAAAGAGCTGATATGATACTCGACTTTCCAGCCCCCGTTCTCCCTACCACGCCGATACGTTCTCCACCGCAGATGGACATCGTAAGGCCCCTGAGCACTAGGGGCAACTCATCACGGTAACGCATCTGGACATTTTCAAAAACAATCAGACCTTTTTCTGGCCAGGTGTTCGAAACCTCCACTGGGTGTAGAGCGGCCTTTTTCTCCTCCTCTAGACAGTTCCCATAGTAATGGAGTCGTTCGGCGGAGTTAAAGTGCTGTTCAAACTCTGTATACTGACGAATAGAGAATTGTAGAGTTTGTGAAATGCTAAGCATGTAGGAAAGGATTAAGCCAGATATGCTGGGTGAAACATCGAAACGAGATGTGACAACAAGAACCCCGGTTACTAGAAGTAATGTATTACAGACAAGGTCCAGGCGAACCGAAAGCCACCGCTGGTTGGCAAATATGAGGAAGTAGGCAGCGTTCGCAGAATCGATTGCTTGACCGATACTCTGTCGGAAATAGCTCTCCATGCTGTACGCTCTGATACATGCAACACCGGTGATAGCTTCATTAAATCTCGCAAATACAACCGAACGGAGAACAGCTTCATGTCGCTTCAAACTTTTAGCAGAGGCCCGGTGATATATTGTAGCAAGAATAACAATAGCTACTAATGGCCCCACTGCAAGAGCGAACTATCGAAAAATGGTCAGTTCTGAGGAACTAACAGGAGCGAAGAAAGAAGGATGCTCACATAGTGGAAGTAGACAATGACAAGTACCATGATAGCAACAACTAGGAGGAAGAGAAACAGAAACAGCCGTACTGTCTCACCCAATTCATTATCCAGTACCTGGACGTCTTTTGAGAGCCGATTGAGAATACGCCCTAACGGCGTTGTGTCGAAGAATGAGGTTGGTGCCCGCAGAACACGATCCATAGCATCTTCGAGCATCGTTTTGCTAGCATTGGCTGCAGAGGTTGTCACGTACACTGAGAACACATACAGTATAACGGCATGGCCGCTTGTGATACCTGCATATATACCCAGATATTGGCCCAAACCCAGCTGTGGAAACTTGTTAGAAGCCCAAAATGACAACCACACTCCACTCAAAATGGCTCCTCCAGCAGACAGGACAGCCAGGGCCAACACTATGAAAATATTAGCAACAGAACCGGAGGATACGGCGTATGCTCTCCATATGTCTCTCCGTCTTGCATGCCGCACCCTCTCCTCCTCCTTCATGAATGGCGCAGCATCCCCATTTTCAGCCTTCAGTTTAGGGCCAGCGTCTCGTAAATGGTCTGCGTAAAAAACCAGAGGTGAGCCTGGTGTTTCTTCCATTTCGTCCTGATGATGGACCGATAAGAGACTCTGGAGTACTTCATTCGTTTGTACCAGATGTCCAAAGGTACCAATATCAACAACCCGGCCGGCCTCCATGACGATAATTCGATCACAATGAGCAAGGACGTGCAGTTGATGTGTTGCCAGTATTCTACATCGATCTTTAAGTAGACCACATATCGCCTGATTCATGATATGGAGCCCGACATCTGCATCCAATGCGGATAGCGGATCGTCCAAGAGTATAATATCGGAGTTAGAGTAAATAGCTCTGGCAATATTTAGGCGCTGCCTCTGACCTCCGGACAGTGTGATGCCTCGCTCTCCTATTTCAGTCTGATCTCCATCTAAAAACGTGGCCAGATCCGCACGGAGCGCACAAGCGTCGACAACCTGGTTATACCGGACCTCATCATAGTCTTGGCCAAATAATATATTGCTTCGAATTGTGGTATTCTGGATCCACGCGTACTGGGGGCAAAATGCTGGGGTTGTACTCATACGTACTGAACCTGCCGTTAGCCGCATTTCACCTGCTAAAGCTCCTAACAAGGAGCTCTTGCCACTACCAATAGTGCCTATCACAGCGATAAGTTCCCCCCGAGAGGCCTGCAAGTCAATGTCCATGAGCCTGAATGGTGCTTTGTCCGTTGCTGCACTAGCAGCCTTGATGGTACCACTCCAAGGTGATGTTGTCGAGGGTCCAGCGGCTGGTACGGGAAAGGAATCCACGTCCGGTACATTCTCCCACGTGAATGATGATCTTTCCAATTGAAATGCTTTTTCCATGGTCCTATCCCATGTAATAAAGTCTTCCCGTTCCTCAGCTAGGAGAAATTCCTGGAGTCGATTGAGAGATGTTACAGCGTCGGCGGTAGACGTGACAACGATATTCATCATGCTGAGTGGCAGTCGAATCGCGTTGAAAACCGCAAGGGAGGCGAATATACGGTCAGATGAAAGGGTATGACCGCTCAGCGTGTATGTCATGAAGGATAGCAACGAGGCGAAGTTCGCCATAGTAGTAAAGGAAACAGTGATAGAGTGCCGCGTCGCCAGAAAACGCCCAAGCAAGTCCATCTCGAGCTGTCGCGTCGTTCGAAGTCGCCCCAGAAAACTTTTCTCCCACGCAAAGAACTTGATAAACCTCACGTTCTGCAGGATCTCTTGTGTTATACTAACCCGCTTGTCTGTAATGGTATTTATCGCCCTGCGTCGAATGATAATGGACCGAACAGCAAAAGTGAGCAAGCATGTCATAGTAACAAAGAAGGCATATCCTGCCAAGGCGCTGTAGCCTATATTAACCAACAAGGTAATTAAGGCAATAATCAAGGCAATTGGAGCGGCGCAAAGTATATGGAGCACTGCACAGCCTTTCTCGAGATGGCTCAGATCCACGGCCATCAACGTGGTTATCCGTCCATCGCTGTAGCCTGCCTTACTGCCGGCTCTAGCACGACCAGATAGTCTCATTGCTTTGGAAAACATCTTGGGGGTGAGGACCGCCTTCAGCTCGCCGCCTGCGATCAAAGATTGATAGAATGCCTGGTTGCTAGAGAGACTTTGTACCAATTGCATGGCAACAAGGCCGACAACTAAGCCCATGCCCTTGCCAAGGTTCGGTCCCGGGAGGCTGTTGTGTTGAGAGACATAGGCGTCCATCGCAAACTCGATTAGGAGTCGTACAACAAAGGGCGCCAGCACCAACAGACACATACTAAGGATCTGAGAGAGTATGCCAACCCACAGTCCGACTTTTAGTGTGTCATATAGAGCCCAGGCTAGCGGCCTTTTCCCTCCGTGTCTAAGCCGCACGCGGAAAGCTTCATCCAGCCTATCGGATAGGATACTTACGGATCGAGTTGGGTTCACCGTCCAAATATCCTGGATCTCCAACTCCCGCTTGTAACCGAGCTATCAATATGGTCAGACTGTGCCCGTATAGTCTCCGAGTATTCGAGAAACTGAGTTAACTGACCTTCACGATTGGGGCAACCCATTGAAAGGTAATAAGACTTGCAAAGCCTGCGGCATATTCTCGAGACACCTGCCTTTCCTGTGGCGCTGGAGGGGTGTTACGAGATCGCAGTGGTTCCAACTTGCGCCACTGTAAGTAGAATGGCTGTTTTCCATCCTGCAACTCTCTGTGTTGATTTTTCTTAGTCGACTCGACCACCGGTGCTTGTCGAGTATCGAGGATCATAGTAGGAAGGCTTGGTCAGCTTGATGGACTGCCACGAAGTGCAGGTTAACAATGACACATGGCACTCTCTTTCATCCCAGCAGGGTCCCGAAAGCCGGCAAAGGGGCTAAATTTTGACCTGGCATTCTTGCTATCCTCCCTCAGAAGGATCGGCAGTCGCCTTATTAGGGCAGTCAACCAATCTTGTCGGGCTGAGAAACTGGATCAAGGCCTGAAAGTGAAACGAGTATCACAGTTTATTGGTGGATAGGGGATTATGCATAGCAAAGTAAGGTCTTTGGCTGAGCTGTATATGGCAAGGCGATGTACCTGGCGGAAAAGGTGCAGCTGTGGCGATTGAAATTAATGGAGAATGCACATCATGCAAGGGGCAATATCGATCTTCATTTCTTCCCCCTTGGCCGACGCCATGCATTCATCGTGGGGCATTCCACTAATGACTAAGGAAACATTCCGGATTGTATTGCCAAATCAACCCGGATTTGCCCTAGATTTCGTGAGAGGACCTTGTCACCACGAGCTCTGTTCCCTAGCCTCTAATTTATGCCAATATAGCCATATGGCCATCGAAATCTGCACCGTATGGGAATATCCTCACAGAATATTATTGAACATATTTTCTGTACATGAAAATTGGTAAATTGTGTATTTGTCCATGACAGCGGGCGATTCTTTTACCATTGTATATATTCCTTGTCCATACGGCTTTGATGTATATATATTCCATAACTTTCATACAGTAAGAAAGAAGGTTTAAAATATAGATTTCGAAATTATATTAATACTGCAACTTAGGAAAGCCGAATTAAAGAATGCCCAGGGAAATCTGCAGTCAATATATGAAGACATCGAGTTGCAGCCTAAAGCCGACCACTGTAGCCATGGGACTGTAACCAAAGTTGATGTCCATACATTGTCTCCAAGGGGATATGCATTTCAAACACCATCTGCGATTCGCCATTGCCCTCAAAAACAATCCAAGAAAGCAGGTTTTGTAATGGTATGATTCGGTAGGTGTCCTAGCGAGATCTTGAATGGCGGTGCAGAAGCAATCTACCAGGTCCTTCGCCTCGTTCTGACCGACAACATGATCATACCCATTCATGATGACCTGCATGCCATCTGCAGAAGGCATGATAGTTACATGAATCTTCTCTGATGGCCGGTTGGGAAGATGGTAAACAAAAGCGTCATAGGTAACTCCATCAAAAACACATGAGGGGTTCGCGCCAAAATTCCGGAACCGCAGCACGCTACCGAATTTGGTTCCCGGCGTCCAATCCGTAGAGTTTCGGATGATATCATCCAGACCGATGTTTTCGAATGGCATCGTGCCGAGGTGTTGCTGTTGGGCCTGGCTCAGCAAGTCATGGTTGCTAGTATATATACCTGGAGAGGTCAACACGGACGGGGACGGTGTTCACACAAGGGCCGAGGATATGGCTCTCATGAGCAACGCTTAGACCTCGCCCATGGATAACCTGGCTAAACACGATGTCTTTAAGGGAGGTCTCAGCAAACGAGATAGTGGTATCTCTCGCGGAGACAAATTTGGCAAATGTTAGTGCCCAAGCGGCTTTTACTAAGGACGCCATCGTGAGAATCTCTGGAGGTGAAACTACTGGTATCCGTTTTATTACCTTCACTGCGCGTGCGTCGTGTATGGCCTTCTCCACATTCTTGGTGACCATCTGCTTCGGCTTCAGAATGGTCATCTCTGACCCTCTGAGCATGGTCCGCCAGGCTTCAAGGCCTTCCTCATTGCGACTAGCCCATACAGCTTCAACGTGGTCGGAGAATGGTGCGTAGGATAGTGTGTCTGTCTAGTAGCTGCTGGCATGAGCTCAGAAGTCTGTCCCGTTTACATTGCTAGGCAGGGCAATGCGCAAATATCTTGGGCATAGCTCGGTTAGGGTCATCCTTTGATACGCAGTTGCGGGGATGATTTCATGAATATTATTAGCTATCTCGGTGGATAATCTTCGGAGAAGCCCACCGTAAGCGTTGAGCTCTTCGAAACTATATTGTTTTGGCTGCGATTGCTCTCTGGTGCCCTTTCGCACAACTGTTGCCAGGTCTGACAATATGGGGTAATTAAAAATATCGCCAGCTGTGAGACATAGCCCTTCTTGCTTCGCTAATGCTACGAGGCGCATGGCGGAAATAGAGTCTCCGCCAAGGGCTAAGAAGCTGCTTCCCATCGAAATGCCCTCCACCTCTTTCTTCAGGGTGTTAGCAACGAGGCGACGAATCTGGTCATCTCGTTCAGTAACAGGGGCCTTATCCATAGACGAAGCTTGGCTCCTACACCGATATGTAGCAAATCTGTCCTCGGGCCATGTTGCCACCGTTTCCAGTAAGAGGCGACGGTTCACGTTTCCTGTCAGGGTGAGGGGAATAGACAAAAGCGGGACAAAGATCGATGGTATCATGTAGGACGGCAGAGACCGCTGCAGCTCGTGCATAATCTCTTCAATATCGAGATAAAACTGACTACTTAGGGTTTCGAGAATTGCTAACGGGCTATCGCTGGTGGCGCCCCAACGTGGGGCTTTTCGTAGGACAGACGAAGGCAACCAGAAATGGTCTCGTAGTCTGTTGATCCGGTTGGAGTAGGAGGACGACTGAACTATGGACCGTTGCACAAGAGGCCGCGATGTGCGATTCAATATCCCCTAGCTCTATGCGCTGGCCGTTTAGCTTGACCTGGTTGTCTTTTCTCCCCACGTAGTGTGTAGACCCATCGATGTTGTACCGGAACATATCGCCAGCCCGGTATAGACGTGTGGTCCGGGCCTCCGAGGGCAGTCTTTTCTGCCATTATGCATCATGAAAGAACGGCTGATTCACTAGTGTATTGCCGTTGAAATAACCACATGCGAGCCCATGGCTCTGCGATATAAGTTCTCCCACTGCCCCCACCGGCGCAAGTCGATCAGGGTGATCAGCATCCACCACCCAGAGGCCCGCACCACAGGCGAAGCCCACGTTACGGGGATCGTTATCTTGTTGAAGATTAGACCCCACAATGGTTGTGCCTGCGATTTCACTGGCCCCGTCCCCAGTCATCAGGTGGACCTTACCAGCCCATGTAGCAATATGAGCCGGCTTCACGGCCTCACCTCCCAGCACCAACCTCCGGAGCGATGGAACCGAGGAAGGAGAAAGAGTACCCGCCACAGATGTAGTTAGGATAGCAAAGCTAACGCGATGGCGACACATAGACCCTGCAAGATCGTTTACACGATCCCCCTCGGATGGAATACATAAACAACCGCCAGCTATCAGAATCAGCAACATCTCGAGGTTGCCTAAAGTGAAGGCATGTGAAGCAAACTGCAGAAGACGAGTGGAAGGGTTAAAGGAGAAAGTGCGGGAAACCGTCCCATATAATGAGCAAAAGGAGACGTTGTTTATAATCACACTCTTAGGATCGCCTGTACTACCAGATGTGAAAACTACGTAGAGTGGACTTTCAGGACCGCAACCCTGTGGTGGTGGTAGATTGGCAGAAGCAGGAAGATGGAGCCTTCAGCACAGCCATCCCCAAATGCCACCACCAGAGGTACGATCTCCTGCGCCAGTCATTGCTGCTTTGGGGAAACAACTGCCACCTTGGCACACACTGGCTGGCAGATGGCGGGAATGCGTTTGAGTGGGTAGGAAGTATCGATCAGAATAAAGGCATCCCCGGCCTTGATCACTCCAAGAAGCGCTACCACCGCCCATTTGGATTTCTCGAAAAAGAGAGGCACAAAAACCCCAGAACCCAGTCCAAGCTCGGCTAAATGAGCAGCGAGAGTGGAGGAGCGCTGGTGGAGCTCCCCGTAGGTCAGTTCACCGTCCCATGCCGAAACTGCTGTTGCGTCGGGCTGCTCTACGCACCGTCGGGAAATCGACTGGAATGCACACTGTTCCAGGCGAGGCATACTCAGAGGGGCTTGATTCCATCGGACCAAGCGCTTGATGTCAAACTCGGTGCAGATGTCAAATGCTGCACTGTTTGATCTCTGTGCTGAACAACTTCTGATATGGGTTTGTTCAGCGTTTCTGCCACAGCCTGGGCCTGCTCGTGCGAGAGGACCGTGGTCGTATAGTCGATAACGCTTGAAAGTAAACCGGTCGATTCATCGCGACAGAGGCGGACGATAATTTGAAACTGGGGAATCAGGCAGAGTTAGCAACGTGTCGCTCTGATGATCCCCTAACGGGCTATGCCTTTGGGTAACGTAGATGACAATGTCGACTTACTTCGCTCAATCCCTCTCTGCACATACTAGTCAGTGACATGTACGACGACCCAGCTCCATTTCGAAGGTCATTGCAATCAATATAGACAATAGAATTAAAGGGCCAGCTATGAGCGGGCAGAGAATCATCAGCTGTGATGAACTCAAAGCTCTCAGACGCGTTTGAGTGCTCCCCATGGTGGTGAAGCCCCTGGGTTGATGTCAAGCTAGTGATGGTAGATTCGTAGACCTTGATGTGTTTTCTCAAGCCTGGCCCGTCATTTGCAGGTCCTTTGTCCTTTTCACAATCTACCAGACCGCAGCAAATGTGATATCCAGAGGTATAGGCTCGCAGTACCACTGCCCAGGCCGTTCTCAGCAGAGATACAAGATCGACATTTTCCGAATGAAGCCAACAAGTTAGCAGCTGCGCATCCAGCCCCTTCAGTGGCACAGTGACAGACTTTCGTAGCTCTGGCATTTCAGGTCGAACTGATTGCGGCCCAAATTGCGAGACAAGTGGTGGGAAGAAACATGGCTGCTCGAAGGTAGTGGCCTTAGCCATTGTGACAACTTTAGTGGTTAAGGAATTCTCTGTCTTTGCCCTCTCGTTTACAATACGGGTGGTTCAAGGTAGATATACTACCGTTTGAGTGTGATGCGAGCGCACATAATCACCAGCCATCCTACAGTCATAGCGCCTCTCACAGCTCCACCCCTCCATATATTACGTATCGCTGGTGCATTTGGACCATGAGAAGGGATCCCGTGGAATGCTCAATAAGGCCAGGAGAAAAAGACCGCGCCAAGGCTATCCCGATGGCCCGGCTCATACTATACTAGGCGAAAAAGCTGCATGTCCAGGCCGTGTTCATATAATAATAGGAGTTCGACCTGTTCACTCGAAGCTATAAATCTCGTGCCAGACATTCAGGGGAATAAACTGCATCCCAGCTGTGATAGCCCATTCTACGGCCCGTCATGTCTTCGCCACAAGGACTCCCGGTCCTCGACTTTTCAGCATTCTACGGTGAGGACCCCAAGGCCAAGGCCAAGTTGGTGGAACAGGTGTGGCAGAGCTGTGTGTACAATGGATTCTTCCAGATCACCGGCCATCGCATTTTGTGGGAACTGCAACAGCGTGCAGTGGGCTGTTCGAAGCGTTTCTTCTGCCTCCCACTAGAAGAAAAATTTAAAATCGATAAAAGTATATCTTCGGTCATCCGCCTACACAACCAGCATTGATGTTTGTAGAGAATAACACCTTTAACCGCGGGTATGAGCTTCAATCTCAGATGAATGAGGCAGGCGCGAGTCCAGACCTAAAGGAGGGTTTGTACATTGGACGGGAGATTTCTACTGATCACCCTTACTTTCTCGAGGGGCTTCTCAACAGTGGCCCCAACCAATGGCCCGGTGCAATTCCTGATCCCGAGTTCCAGCAAAGCACAATAGAATACTATCACGCGGTGTTTGACCTTGCGAAAGACACCATGGCTGTCCTGGCACTCACGATGAATCACGACGAAACGTACTTTCATTCTCTAACAGATGGCGCGGTAGCAACCCTGCGATACCTGCATTATCCACCACAACCCAAGGTGGTGGAAGAAAGGCTGCGGGGGATTGCTGCTCACACCGACTTCAGTTGCATTACACTGCTGCTACAAGATGAAGTCGACGGGCTCCAGGTACTCGACATGACAACCAGTGAGTGGATTGATGTACATGCATCCCCCCTTGCCTGGCACCCGCTCTCCCATACTGATGCTGTCTATCTAGGTTCAGCCAATACGTGGGGCGTACGTGGTCAATTTAGGGAATTTGTTTTCTCGCATGACCAACGAGGTCTATAAATCCAACCTGCATCGAGTGATCAACAGCTCCGGTAATGATCGCTACTCTATCCCATTTTTCTTCACCGGGAGTCCAGGGTTCGTATGCAGGTGCCTGCCTGGATTCCGGGAACATGGTGGGCCTGGTAGATATCCCCCTGCAACCGTTCAGGAGGTGGTGTCGTCATCGTACAAGGAGACCTTTGCAAGGGCCGCGAGATACAAGGCCGAGATGCAGGAAAAGTTACAAAATCGTGCAGCTGAAGAAGTCGCTGCCTAAACCTGTCATCTGGTTCACTTGCATCCGTCTTTGAATACCTCAACCCGTGATATTACTGATTTTTGGACTCCATTCATCAGGAGCAGTTATGCTTGCTACTCGCGCATGTTTCCTCCTTCATCCCTTACGTCTTTCTACTATTATAGTCATATTTGGGCCATACCATCGGTTAAAGTACTTTGACTTTGGGGAATGTACCGCTGCCCCTTGCATGAACTCTTTCCCACAACTGTCCTGCAAGGCTTTGACTTTCCTAGGACCCTTACGGCCGCTGTCAAGCTGAGCCAAGATATATCTTTAATATAATTTCATTATTGTTTCCATTCCTTGTTCATTATCAGTTTCACCGAGGGTCAACCGTACCATGTAGAAGGCATGTCACCCAAGTATAGATATATACCCACATCACGAAATGATAATATTAAAATTTCAAAGACATATAAGGTTTAAATTTAAAATAGGGATTAATTTTTCTTGTTTCTTGGCAGTCTTACGAGTTGTAAGTCAGGTCCCATATCGGGTGAACTGCCCCTTATCTCACACAGAGTTATTTACATAACTGGTTAGATACACCGCATAGTCATAGAGTTTGAATCCCCTAGACTGGTGACGCAAATTAGTACGGGAAGGACAATTGGTGATTTTGCTATAGAAGGAAGTGATCTTCATCTGATAATCAGTGGATGCAGGATTATGCTCTGGCTGACCGAGTTGGTGTTCAATGAAACAAAACGCATGGTCATTTGGAAGCCTATCACGCTGAGAATGGAAGTTCTTGGTAAAATTGTGCAAGAGTGGTCCTAGGCCTACTCGCCACTGACCCGGAGCGAGCCCAGGATAGACATTGTGAGCTGCCACTCGGCATCATTTATCTCCTTATTATTCTGCTCTATTTTCCGCAAAGGCCACGGCCCTATGGCTGCAATAGCCATAGTATCCCGCAGTGTTCCGGGTATTATATCAATATATGGAAGCCCACCGACCCCCAAGCTTTTACTGCGGGTAACTAGGGGTACACTGTCAGAAAAAGGAAGAGGAGGCTGTATACAAAAGCCCCAGAGATATATGTGTACAAGATCATAGGCTGCTTGACTATTACTTTTAATGGCAGAGCGAGCCGATCCTTCCAAATCTTAGCTATGTCGACTAGGGCTTTCTTGTGGAGCGAGTAGAGAGATCAGTTGCCAGTTTCCTGGCGCTGGTGGTATGCCTTTTCTGTCAAGATTACAAGATGATATGTCGTATGTAGAAAGATGGCCAGGAGTCCGAACGCAATAACTCTCAAGAATTCTGGAATGGAAAGAGTCCATCGCCAGCTCAGAGACTGATTTATGATACGGAAGCCACCTGCGAATGGTGCTACTAAGGGTCCGCTGAGTACTATCAAGCAGAAGATTATAACGGGAATGCCGCACTGCTCTGGAGTGAACATGTCGGCCAGTGCTGGTCCAGCCACTGAGTCTAGATCTAAAACCCATCACAGAAACGAAGAATCAACAGCGGATAGACGCTCTCAGAGATGGCGGTAGAGATTCACGATATTGTGAAGCCTAATATAGAGATGACTAGTGGGGGACATCTTCTCTTGCATTCCAAGAATGATCCGAATATAACAGGACTAAACGCAAATCTAAAGAGATAGAGGGATACTCCCAATGTGATTACTTCCTTACCAATACTATAGATATGTATCACAGTAGGTATAGCAGGTGCGAAGATGCTACTTGTGGAGGAAGCTACTATGATACCAACCCTAGGGAGTACAGAGAGGGATCAAATGAATAAAATTGACTGTGGTTGGTTGCCAAGGGGGATCAGCCTCCTCTTCGATTGCAGAAATCAACCTGCGAATGTTGCTAAGAATTAATCCTTTGTATAAAAGATCCTAAGGCGAACTGAGGAACGCACCTGTTGGGTAGCTGTCCAGGAAGTCCTCTGCCACTGCTACAACCTACTCTCGTACACCTTCCAAAGAAGTAAACTGCCCATATCTCCTCGAATTCGCCGTGGAGATGTTCAGGGTATGGATCGTCACGGCAGATGCATCAGCGCAGGTGAAGTCATCTAATCGCGAAGATTTGAAAGAAATTGGTCCTCTCATTTCTACCCTCTTTTGGTAGGCTGCGGGCCATTCTAGGAGAGGAAAATACGAAAGACAAAAATTACACAGAGGCCCGACGAGACTGATAGGACAGATGTTCTCATGGCGTTGTCCAGTCCAGGGAATGTGTGTTCGGCAAGGCGATGCCAGACCGCTTATAGTCCTGCTACTGATATATAACCCGGTTAGCCAGGAATGACAGACCAGGTCTCCCCAGTAAATACAAGTCCTCCGTCCAGCCTGAACTGTTCCGGGTCAAGATAGACACTCATTCCAATGTTATCTCCACTTATATCAAACACGCGTAGAATCATGTAAACCTCTGAGTAGTCGCTCCTGTTGTGCACAGCCCGCATCTTGGCTTGGTCAGCGGGTATATGTTTGTGATCGTTGTCAACTCACTCACTCGTTTATACTGATATTTGCTCATGTAGAAAGGAGTTCTCAAAGGCCCTGTGGTCGTCTTGACTTCAATATAATATTTCGGACGCTTGTCCCTCCATTCTTCAGTCGCGAGGTACCCGTGCTCAATCAGCAGGGCCGTGAAATCGCCCTCAGTATCATTATACGTAATATCTGCGGTCTCCCTACCATAATACGGTTCCATATTGGAGTAATCCGGGTGGACCGTGACATATCGACGAATTTTACTTTGCCAATTCAGCTCACTCCAGTCAGTCAGAGCTGGGTCCAGCCGTGTAAGTAATTCGAAAACCTGCAAGAAAATTAGTCACATGTTAAGTTGTACCCTAAAAGACCATTACAGAAATGCGACATACATATAGCTCTCCTGCGGCGCCAATCTTCTTGTCTCTTTCGAGCTGGCTGTCTGAGCGGAACGCATCCGTTATGTCAATACCATCGAAGCCATCATATCGTTGGAACGGTTGTTGTCCCGACAGTGCTTCGTTCAGTTCGCTCATGTTGAACGGTCCACTCGCAGGAAATGTAGCTCTCCTCGCAGCCAATAGCACCCCATTGAGGAGCGTACGGTATTGCGTAGTGTCCTCCGATGTATGTTCACGTGGTGAGTACATCGGTGGAGGATTGGGGTTGGGCCAATAGTTGGCCATCTGGGTTTGTCGAAACATCACGTCCTCTAAACCATCGCTTAAAAGTCAGCGATTCTGATGCGTAAACGGGATGAGAATATCCGGTGGGTCTAGTGGAACCTCACCGGCAGATCGATCCTGACTTTGTGACCGTTGGGATGGTATACTATCATCAGTGCTATCGTCATCAATACAGGGGTCTTCGTTCTGTAAGTCAATTTCAATAATACCCTGGCGTTCCAACACAAGGTCGATAGCGGAAGGGTCGATATTCAAGATCATGGAAACTACAGTTACTGCATCTCGTTCGATATTGTCAGGAATTTGTGTGGCCGGATCCCGCATGATCCAGTCCATCAGTTGCTTAGGCAAAAGGTCACAGAAGCAGATTTCTTGGGCCTTCTTGTCTTTCGGCACATAAACAGTGAGACCAGATCGGTCTTGACTAATGTGCAATTTGCTAATCGACTCTTCAGCATCCACCACTACACCATCTTGGGAGATTCTCAGGATTGAGGAAAGCCCATCAGTTGCTTCAATCCTTGCTGTCCGAAGTAACTCGTAAAGCCCCGACGGATTCGCGTGATACCTCGGGCTACTGAACGTGGCCGCGACTCTAACATGGAGAAGGGATATGAGCAATCTAACCCAAGCTTTTAAATCCATAACACTTACCGGAGAATCGCATGCGCCTTCCTTCTCAAGTCTCGGCGTGGAGCTGAAATCAGTTGCGCTGTGTCGCCAGAGAAGGAAGTTAACTCCTTGATGGATGCAGATAAGTAGCGATGTGTGAGATTTGTCCACTCAAAGAAGCTTTTCAGACGGCGAACTTCTTCCAGACTGTAGTCAAGCATCTTGATCCTGCCTCTGAACTGTGATGCCAGGTGCTCCCGGTCAGGAATCGCGAACTCCGTCGCGGCAGATGTGAGCCCCTTCGTTCCATCTGGGTAAATAACTGGAAATACCCCCCTTTCCAACAGCGGGTCCGGATTGGCATATTCTCCCTCTGTTTGAAGGAGAGCATTGAGAGACCAGATTTTACTTTTTGTCTCGTCGATTGTTGATTCTGAGCCTGTTTCCAACAGCTCATCATAGACCATCTGAAGGGTCAGCGTATTGACCCCCAAAGTATCAATAAAGAAATTTTTCAGGTCCTCGTAATGGTCATTGAGGGTGACCTTCCCACGTATATCTGTAGTACTTGACCACAAGCACTCGGAGATTTTGTACCAGCCGGGTTCGCCGTTTGTGGTCACAAATATCAGGCTTTCATCCTCAAATTCGCGCCTAAAAATAAAAGCTTAGCCCTTTGATTCAACCTCAGCAAGAAAGCAAGGAAGTTGATACTTGCCGCAAATCATCATTAGAGAGGAAGTTTTCCATTCCAGAGAGGTACCTGTACATGTCGAAGATTTGGTCGAAGTCCACGCAGTGGTTCTGGCTCCGTTCCACCAGTTCCCCTGTCAGATCTGACCATGAGGCATTAGGAATGCTCAATGTATGCCTGAAGAATCGTGAAAGATGCTGGAGTTGACCTTCGTCGACAATTTGCTCGAAGACATATTTGAGAGAATACTTCGACATCATATTTGGTGGTGCGTCCCACAGGCAGTTCTCAAGACCCGCCCATGCGGCATCATAGGGATCATCCTCTTGGAGTTCAGGAACGAAAATGTAGTCACCGTATTCAAAAAAATCCCTCGACTAAAAGTGAGCAGTCAGCCTAGGGATTTGCGGACACTGGACTTACTTGATGCTAGTCCTAGCGGCCACCCTGTCCTTGGCAGCAAGATGCTTGGCGTCAATTGCAATATATAGATCCCATAGTCGCTCATATGAAGTAAGGG